GAGGAAACACTAAAACTCAAGTCAAGTGTTGGGTTTGAGGTATGGGATGGCAAGCAATCAATTTCTCCTTTATTGTCATTCTCCTATTTGTATAGCTTTTTAAAAATATAAAATGAAAAAGCAATGCCTTCAGAGTTTATTTTTAGGGGAAGGTATTTTTACATTCTTGATCTTATATTGATGAGCTCATTTTCATTGGCCTAGATTTATTTTCACTTTCCAGTAATGTATTCCTTACTCCACTGCAATATACCCCCTGATTAGAGGAGAAAACAAATTACTCCTCCAGCCTGAGCACATAAGGCCGTTTTTATAATCAGGAAGACAGGATGCGGGGAGGGGAATCTGCTTCGACGTCTGAGAATTGCTCTGGGGAGATAACTGCACACCAAGGCACTGCCGGGAGGTCTATATTTCTGTCTTGACGTCTGTAGGTGCCACTGCCACCGCCAATGGTGATGATGATAAGTGATGAGAAAATGAACTGGGAGGTGATGCATCTTCCTGACAGATGTAAGGAATTGCTGCAGGCAGCCCCGAGGCAAGTGCTGGCTGCGGCCACGCTGGCGCCTGCCTTGGTCACTCTGGCACCGGCAGGCAGGGCTGCGAGAAGCAGGGGCAACGCAGTCATAACTTTGTGGTTTTAATCTGTTCGTGGAGCCTCTTTTAAAATGTTTTTTTTTTTCAGGAATGAACTGGAGGTTGTGCTACAAATTCTGAAGTATCGTTACTGTTGATTCGATGGTGTCTGTCTCATACTTGTGTTATTACTGTGGAGATCCAGTGTGCGTTGCTCTGCCAGGCAGCGATGTGCACCCAGGGATGTGCCCACACAGACACTGGAATGTGGCTGTCCTAAGATGTCAGGGCACCCCATTCCTGAAGTCCTCCTTTCACCCAAGGCGTCATATGTGCTGGCTCGGTGCTAATACGGACCACAGGGGATGGTTAGACCTGAGCTAGTGCTTGCGGTGGGCGGGGGGCAGGAAGGAGCAAGTGAAGTGAAGTGAAGTGGAGGACCACAGGTACCCCCTGGGGAGCCACGCTGGGGGCCAGGAGGAACCGCACTGGATGTTTCTGGATAGCCAGCCTGGGGATATTCGAACAAAGGAAATGCACTCAAAGGCAGCACTGGCATCAATTACCTTTTTCATTTTGTTTGTTTAAATATAGATACGATTTTTGTTTGGAAAACAATTCACCTTTTTGCCTTTCTTTTCTGTCTTGACCAGGAATTTATGAGTATTTGACCCGACTCAAAATGTGCAAAGAAGAATAATGGAAGCCCCTGAATACCTTGATTTGGATGAAATTGACTTCAGTGATGACATATCCGTAAGTATTGCTACTTGGAAGTAATGCTTTCGGGAGATTCTGCCTTCTCCTACATGGGCTACTCGCTCTGTTCTAGTCTGTATGTCCTAAACTCTCCCAGCCACATTAGAACTTGACATCCTGTGGGGCAGACAAAGTGTGGTTTTGGGGTCTCCTGGACCAAGAAATGAATTCCACTTACTAGTAATTGTGTGTGAGTTTGGGTGAGATTTAACTTGACCGAGCCTCCCATTCCTAATCTCTTTCATTGTTGCCAAAATTATTCGCTGAGGACATTTATAAAGTGCCTGCTGATAGTAAGCACTTTCATAGAGTTACTTATGCACATAATTAACCCTATTCACTTAGTTTTCTTTATGGCTATGGAGCAGCCAGCATTCTTGGCGCCCATAAGCGGATGGACTCAAGGATGGCCAAGTTAGGTTAGCTGATGAACAAGAGGAAGCCTTCCAGTCACTCTAGGCGTCAAGGCGCAGATTGGATGCTTGTTGGGAATATTGAGGGAGAGCCATGCAGTGGTAAGGACTGGACCAGCTGACCTCTGAGCCCTTCTTAATCCTGTAATGCTGTTGGCTACTGAACTTCTCGGAATCACAGCTGCTCCGGGGGGTCCTCTCCATGCCCCTCTGCTCAGAGCTGGCTGTGACTTGTCCTGGGCCACACAGTTCTGCCACATGTGGGCCTCTCATGCCCTCCCAGCCAAATGGGGTGCTCAGAGTTTGTGATGAGAAGGTTGCCGTTTCTGAATGAGTCATGTGACTTTTCTTCTTAAAACCTCCAGGGTTACTTTTTTTAAAATTTTTTTATTAAGAGAAGTAAGGCTTTATTTCCTTGTTTCAGAAATAAAGCTGACTGAGCAAGTTGCTTTTTGGTGATTCGTCAAAGAGACCAAATCCCATATCCTCATCTGACTCCCCCCAGTCCTCCTCTGCTTCCCTAGGCTAGGGCTGCTGCAGCAGCAGGAGCCTCAGTGGTGGGGGCAGCCTCAGGGACAGGTGGACACAATTTCTGGCCTTACTTTGCATTGATCTTTCATAGCATAGAGCTTTGGGTCACAGCTAGAAATTGTCTCAAAAAGATAGCTTACTTTAACATGCTTCTGGCAACAGCAGTAGTCCTCTCCTTTACTCTCCACTTTGAAGTGAAATCCACATACTATACACAAGAATTGAATTATTGGGATGAGTTTGATGAATGATCTATTTTAACCTTCGATGAGTCTTTGTAGCAGGGAAAGGTAAATTCAGCCTTCCCTTACTTCCACTTCCAGACAGTTTTTTTAATCCTTATGAAGACCAACTGAAGTGAGTTTCTTCCTTTCTGTAATATCTTTCTTTCTGTCTTTTTCTGAGTTACTGTGCTTGGCTTAAGAGTGTGGCTCTTTTATAACCACTCCTGTCAAGGTATTTTGAGCTGAGTGGGGGGAAGAGCAAAGAGAGTGAATGATAATGTGGGGAGGGGTGGGGAGGGTGGCAGGTGTTTATGAAAGGGAAACTTGATTAGGAGTTTGGGAGTGACTCTCTGAGCTTTGCTAGTGAAGGTGCCTTTTGAAAACATAGGCTTTGTGAAAGAAGCCAGTCAGAGAAAGACAAGTATCACATGATCCCATTTATATATGGAATCTAATGAAGAAAATAAACTGATGAACAAAACATATCCAGAAACATTGAAACATGCAACAGACTGACATATCTCAGAGGGAAAGGGGGAAAGGCCAGAAGAGATTAACCAATGAACTTACACACACACACACACACACACATATATATATACTATATATATACACATATACATATACACACACACACACACATATGTGTGTATATATATATGCATAGCCCATGGACAAACAATAGTGCCGACAAGTCCTGGGAAGGGGATAAGAGCGGATTGGAGGGGTCAACAGAGAAAAAAAGGGGGACACCTGTAATACCTGCAACAATAAAGATTTTAAAAAATGTGCACAAAACACACAAAAATAAGTAAATAATAAGTAAAAGCAAAGGCTTTGAAGGCACCAGTCTGGGCTGCAGATGTGTTCTGACTGACCTCTCTGAGATACCCACCTAACTTTTAAGGTGTTTTTGTTGTTGTTGTTGTTGTTGTTGTTGGGGTTTTTTGAGGATTAAGTGAAATAATATATATGAAGCACTTAGCTTAGCACACAGTAAGTTGATCTTAAAAATGGTAGCTTTTGTTATTATTTCAATGAATAATACAGTAATATTTATATGACCATTGGTGAAGAACGAACTCGAGGGAAAAGACCAGGCATCATGTCAAAACTTTTTTTTAACACTGTAATAGAGCAGTTGTGTTTACAGAAGAATCATCTGGCAGCAGCCCATAATTTTGATGAATTAGGAATCTCCACTTAAAAGATAATAAAATATGTTAAGCAATAACTGAAGCTGTTTAGCAAGTTGGGATGCAGGATTATGCAATAGTTGAGTTTCTATAACTTGACCACTCTGAAACATAAATAAAGACATCCATCTGTAATTGTGTAACTGCACTCAAACCTTCCCTCCTTTAATTGTGTATTTATTGTGTGGATCTTTGACCTACGTTTAAACTTTTAGCAGGAGGAAACACAGGAAGGTGCATGGAATTGCTGAAACAATAATAATGCTTACCATTTACTGAGCACTTGCTATAGGATAGGGTTTGTGCTGTTTAATTCTCACAACAATCCTCTGAAGAAGGTACTTACTATTATCTCCATTTTACAGATAAGGAAACAAGTTACATAACTTGTCCACAGTCACCCACTTAGTTAGGGACGCTTTGCCTCCAGCGTTATACTTTTAGCTATAATACTGCTTCTCCAAGATAAAAATAGTCTATTGCAGTGGTCCTCATAAGGACGATTTTACCCTTCCTCAGGCGATACCTGGGCAATACCTGGAGACATTTTTGATCCTCATACTAGGGATATGCTGCTACTGGCATCTAGTGGGTAGAGACCAAGGATGCTTCTAAAGAACCTAAAATGCACAGGAAAACCTCCTACAACAAAGAATTATCTGGCTTAAAATGTTGATAGTACTGAGGATAAGCAATCTTGGCCACATGAAACTAAAGAAGCTCAAATTTGACTGGCAACCTCTATAACATGGTAGATTATTCTATTCTAGTCAATCTGATCCAAATTCAGTACTTTAAATGTGCCGGAATCATACTGTTCTTACATAATGATTTCATGGGAAAGGATGTAGAGATAACCTCCTAAACACTGGAACAGTTGTTTCAGCCTATTTAGGTAAACTAGGAGCAATAAATGTTGTAACTGTTTTAGGGGCAAAGTGGAGACTATTCAGGTGCTAACACTGAAAACTGAAGATGTGTTGAAGTTGTTAATTTGCTGGCATAAAGAGAAATGTAGTCTCTCACAAACATGCCTTTATTGTTAGGATTCTGTAAACCTCCATCCTCACAGTTCTTAAGTCTCTTTTGAAAAAGATGTTTACCAAAAAGATGCCCAAGTTTAAATCCGCTCTTCTTCCTCCCCAGCCATAGCCATCAGCTTTCTATTTTGTGATTTTCCCCCTCTAGTTATGAGCCTGGTTCTTGTTTTAATTAAAACACAAGCTGTAAAATGGTTCCAAAAAACAACTAGAACTTTTTTTTTGCCTTTACCTAATGAGACAAAACACAGAAGGCACTTACATTATTTTGAAGTTTCCCAGACTCCAAAATAATGCTCATCCTTTGCAAAATGCAGGGTTTAAACTATACATTCTTGTAATCCTGCCATCGAAAAGGGCAGAACACTGTGCACTGGCTGCAGATGTGCGAGGGAGAGATGACGACACACGTAAACACAGAGGGTCAGAGCAGGGCCTTCCTGTCACTGCACACGGGTTTACAGATTTCTTTATTCCTATGGAAGCCAGAGCCCTGTGTCTGGGAAATGAAAAATGCTCTGGAATACAATTTTACCGTGAGGTTCTTAGTAGCTGTGGTGTGTTTCATTAAGAGAGGCCAGTTTGCTGTCCTCAGAAATAGTATGCACAAGATTGAATAATGCAGAGGCCAAACACCATGGATCCACTGAAGAGCCTGACTCATTGGCTGTGCCACACACAGCACTGAACTCTTTAAGTCCATTATTTTGTTTAAGCCTCACATCCACTCCACAAAGCAGCCCCTATTTTAATCCCTTGTTTGGCAAATGAAGAAAATGAGGGTTAGAGATGTCATATGGCTTTCATACGGTTACAAATGGGCAAGTGGCAGGTCAGGATTTATATACAGAACTCTTTGACCATGTGACTCTCCCCCTCTGAGTAACTTAGTTGAGTATAACGGGCCAGTTATCTTACCATTACTATCCCCAAATAGGCACTGCAGCAAATGCAAATAACTTTTTGGCACCAATGTAGTTGGTATATATATTATAAATAAAGTAAAACAAGCTAAAGAGAACTTGGGAAAATCTCTTCATTTTACTGTACCTCAACTTTTCCATCTGCAAAATGATAATAATCATATCTGCCTATTCCCCTGGTTTTATGGAGAAAATTTAAAATTTTATACACACACACACACACACACACACACACACACACACACACACTTGAGGCCTGTTGCATGAAAAGATTCGTGCAATAGGCCTTCCCTTCCCCTGGCTGCCAGCACCGGTTTTCCTCCGGCACCGGGACCCAGGCCTT